GCCACTGCACTTCAGTCTGGGTGACAGAGTGAGACTCCAACTCAAAAAAAAAAAAATTTCTAATAGCTTTTCATAGCATGGGAAAATGAATTTACATTCTAAGCTGGCATTCAAGAACCTTAGACATAGACTCCCCACCTCTCTTTCCAGTTTTGTATTTCACCCTATTCCATGACGCTATAAAATTCAACTTAATATATCTATTCTTCCCAAAAGTATGTGCATGTCAACGCCTCAACAATTGTCCCACCCACACTATTCTTTGGAAAGGGCCCTTCTATGTTGTTTATCTAACAGAATGTACTCAACTTTCAAGGGTCTGCTGTAATGTTATTTTCCCCGTCCCTCAGCAGATTCCGATGGCTGCATCTTCCCTACTCCCTTGATGCTGTGTGCATGTCATCATCATCATATTTTATTTGAAGATCATATGACAGGGACAATGGTAAGGGTCAATGCATTCTGCTTTGTTTTGTTTTCTTTCTTTTCTTTTCCTGGACACACTAAGAGTCTATTTTCCATCCTCCTGTATTGCCATATCGGGGCTGTGTGCTATCTTCCAGCCAAAAGAGTGCAAATGGAAGTAACGACAGCTACTCCCAGGCATAGGCCTTGAGAATATCCCTGTGAGCCTTTTATTCCTCTTCCCTTACTGTGGCAACTTGAGATCAATCGTAAGTTCCTTAAGTTTAAGGACTACGCCTCTGTCACCTGAAGAACTAGTGAAGTCTCTATTATGTAGAGTAGGTGCACAATGAACATTTATTAATTGATGACAATATCTAGGAAAAGAAAAATAAGTGCAGTTAGGAGTTTATAAACAAAGTTTGAAACTGATTACCCTTGGCAAGGCAGGACACAGGTCAGTAAACAGGGAATGCAATAGACCAAGAAATAGAAAACCATATCATAAAGGTCAGTATATCCTTTGGGAATGAATCAGGCACACTGCAGAGGTCAGCATGGCATTTGTCTTCAGAGCAAGCTAACAAGCTATGGAGTCGTTTTATAATGATGGTGATAATCAACATTATACTTCCTTGCATTTGCTTAGCTTGATGTGCCATATGTTTTCAAAATATATTATTACCTATTATCTAATTTGACCCAGAAAACAATACAGAGAGAGTTGGAGTAAGTATTATGATTTCTATTTCAGATAATCACATTGAAATTCAGTGAGATTAAATACTTGCTCAAGGTTGCAACTTAAGTAGTGAATTAGAGCTTAGATTTTCTAATTAAGATCACAAAGACCTTTCCCCTGAAAAGTTGATTCTGTTACTGTGTGCTACTCATGACTTAGACCTATGATCTCTCTGCCATCCATGTGCCACATGGGATTCTCAGCCATTAACAATAAAAGCTTAGAAAGAGGCTGGTTCTCTAGCACTTTCTTCATACCGATAAGTCAATTCCCAAGGCCCTTACGGTTCTCAAAATGGTCCCGTCTCGGAGGTTAGTGGAAATTACCCAGTTGATAAAGAACTAAGGAATCCAAACTTAAAAAAGAATTCTGACTATCAGACATGGAACAAACAGCAAGTAGTTGTAGCTTCTGGATCTCCCTGCCTAAGATAATCAGAAACAGAGGATTTTATTTATATGAGAGTTTTGGTAAGCCTATAAGACAAAAAGGGTAAGATGAAAATTGCATGATGCTAGATTTACCATGCAGAACAGGGGTCCCCAGTCCCCAAGCCATGGACCAGTATTGGTCTGTGGCCTGTTAGAAATAAGGCCACATAGCAAGAGGTGAGTGGTAAGTGAGCGAGTGAAGCTTCATCTGTCTTTACAGTTGCTCCCCATCACTCGCATTACGCCTGAGCTCCACCTTCTGCCAGATCGGCGGCAGCATTAGATTCTTACTGGAGTGCAAACCCTGTTGTGAACTCTGCATGCAAGGGATCTAGCTTGCACACTCCTTGTGATGATCTGAGTTGGAGCAGAGGCAATAATGCTAGTGCCAGGGAGTGGCTGCAAACATAGTGAAGCTTAACATTAGCAGTGAAGTTGGACTGCCCAGAGACCCTAACAAATCCATCGCGTGCAGACTCATATCAAAGCCCTGTCTGTGAGTGGCAAGTGAGTGGACGAACTGCCATTGCACAGCTGCATCTGGTGGCAGGCCTTCAGTCAGAATCTGATACGTTTTTTAGTCTATCTGTGGCCCGCCCATTGTTTATTTACCACTCCCCTCCATGCTTCCTTTTTTAACAGGGTGAGTTGTATAATTATTGGGTTTTTTTTTTTTTTTTGAGTTGGAGTCTCACTCTATTGCCCAAACTGGAGTGCAGTGGCACACTCCCGGCCACTGCAGCCTTGACTTGCTGGGCTCTGGTGATCCTTCCACCTCAGCCTTCCAAGTAGCCAGAACGACAGGCGCGCACTACCACGCCCAGCTGATTTTTTGATTTATTGTAGAGATGAGGTCTTGCCAAGTTGCCCAGGCGGGTCTCGAACCCGCAGGCTCAGGCAATCCACTCACCTCAGCCTGCCAAAGCGCGGGATTACAGGCTAAGCCACCGAGCCCAGTTTAATTATTGTATTATATATCAAAATGTAATAATGATAGAAATAGAGTACACAATGAATCTTAGGCACTTGAATCATCCTGAAACCACACCCCCTACCCTATCCTGTCCTGTGGAAAAATTGTTTTCCACAAAAGCAGTCCCTGATGCCAAAAAGGTTGGGGACCGTTCATGTGGAAGACATGTCTGGTCAACGTCTCCAGCAGGTCGATGGCAAAGGTGAGATCATGATCTTAGAGATACAGGTTGCTTCATGAGGGTGGAAGATGCTGGTCAGCCTAGGTTCCTAACGGAGAAACAACTCAAGCCTATACTCTGTTCAGGGTGGTCTATTTCATGTGAAGGTCTGCTCATCATTAGCAAGGTCATCAGAGTCGTCTTTAGCTAGGGTGTTGCAACATGAGTGTTGTACATTCCAAATGATTTTTTGTTCTTTTCTCCCCAGGGCTGCCTATACTTTGGTTTAGTACCTAAAGAAATACTGCAATAGTGAAGCTGTCTGCCTGTAAAAACTGCCTAGGTCTTCAATTTCTTCTACAATTTAGTAGGGAAAGCAACACTACAATAATAACATTAGCTACTATGTATTAAAATGTTACTATGTGCCAGCTAAATTATATTTATTACCACTTCACTTGCAAGTTAGATATTATCTCCATATTATATAGGAAAGAACACAGGTATCAAAAAGGCAGCTAAGGTCACCCTGTTAGAAGGGAAATTTTCAAAGCCCCTATTTTTTTCAAGATAAGGGAAAGAAACTTGGAAAGATAGGAAGAGAGAAGGAATGGGAGATTTTATGCAATTTTAAGCACCTGATACAAGAGACTTTACTTACATTTGCTATGCACTCCCCAGCTGATTCTTCAAGCCCACAGCTTCTTTGAGTCATTTAAATTTAATGCCTTTATTTATGGCTGCATAATATTCCATTGTGTATATGTACCACGCTTTTTTGTTTTGTTTTGTTTTCCAGTTCAGCTTCAATGGGCAGCATGGTTGCTTCCATGTTTTTGCTACTGTGAATAGAGCTGCAAACATATGGATTTCTCAGCAACTTGGATGGATTTGGAGTTGATCATACTCAGTGATCTACCACAGAAACAAAGAACAGAGTGCCATATGTTCTCACTCATAAGCTGACCGTGAACAATTATAATACTATAAGAAAGGGATTGGCAGAGTGGGAAACTGTCAGGGGAGGGGGGTGGGATTGGCAGTTGAGGGAAACCACTAGGGGAGGGAGGGACACACCTCATCAACAAGGGTACCTGCATAATCAACATCTGTGTACCTACCCCTGAATTGTACCCCACATCTTTATAATAAAAAGGAAAATAATTAAATACTATTGTACATTTATCTCTAAAAACTAAAATAGAATAAAATAAATTTAATGCCTTTAACCCTAACTGAAGGTCCCTTCAACCAGCCTCTAGTCTTATCTTTGTCACAGTACAGGAACCAAAGTTAGGGGCCTGGGTTCTGTATCTTTATCCCATAGAGTTGAGGCTGGATCTCATACTATTCAAGGCTTAAAGATTTTATCTGTCCAATTCATGGGGTTGAAAATGCCATTGTGGGTTGGCCTGAGACTTGAACTACACAGGTTACAGTGTTTCCATGGGAAAATAGCTTCAAATGCTGAAGAAGTGACTTACAAAGTACATTTTTGGGACATCCCAATTTATAAATTTGAGAGCCTATATAGATATGGCAAGAGTATACATTTCTTCTTATCTTAATGAAAATTTAAGGGGATGATCACTGCACGAATACTGCTCAGCGTTATGAAATTTAAAGATTCCTTGGGTTTTTATTGCTCACATGAGGGTAATGTGCTTTTTCAGAGGCCTGCAAAAGAGTGAAATTATTAAAGAGTTTTATCACAGGCAACATTTCCATAAAGTACTCTCTCCTTAACTAGCTCTTTTTTATGAAGTCTAATTGGCTAAGACTTCAGTTATTTTTTCTGGCTTTAAAGGAGGAAAATGAGTGCAAATATCCCCATCACCCCAGGCCACACAGGAAATACTCCTGCCAGGTTGGTCCTGCGTGCTCCTCCAGGGTAAGCTGAGGCAATGTACTCAGGGGCCTGACAGTGAAAAGGTGGAAAATGGGAACAGAGGGAGAGACCAAGGAGGGGTCTGATACCTCAACAGCAAGGGTGACACTACTGAATTTAAGCGCAAGTGTTGGGGGGAGGGAGGGAGGGGGAGAGGAGCAAGTGTTTATTGAGTACCTGCTATGTGAGGTATTCTGTGTAACTGGAAAAAGTAGCAGCCAAGTCTCTGTGCAGTGAGAAAAGTAGAAAGAGCTCGCCATTTCTGATGATAAATTTACACTCTAAAACGAATGTAAGCTGCTGTTCTCAAGGCTCATATCATTTCTCATGTGACTTTCAGAGTGTGAGTATTTTTCTGAGCTGAACGATGCTAGTTATTTAAGGTCCCACTTTTTTTTTTTGGTACAACATGTGTCCTCAACTCAAGCCAACTATTTCATCTGGTTTCTGATTTAAAAAAACAAGAAAAAGAAACTGCCGTGTCAAACTCATGGAGGGATTGTGTGTCAGTCCAGCAGTTTCTAAGAAATGTTCTGCATAGTTTCCACCTTACATGCTGTCTTTAAAGTCTCACTCCTGTGTGGAATGTGACTCTGCTCAGCCTGGTTTGAGGATTGGATTCATAAACCAAATCTCAGTTCAGACATTTTCTAATTGAGTTATCAGGAAACCCACGTAAAACAAAAATGATGTCTTTTTTTTCCCTTTTGCATGCTTATGTAGCATGATTCACTATGGTGTGCAATCATTTTTGTCTTGGTGTCACAAACATGCACACAAGTTCCTGGAGCATCAGGGATTCAAGCATCCGGGTGAGAAGTCAAGGTGGGGTCCCTCAGGTAAGAA